GACGACGACGACGACGACGACGACGATGACGGAACTGAAATAAAATCATCTCGCTCGCCATCTCAATACGCCCTGATCTCGTACACAAATCGTATTGAACGTGGTGGCAATCAATTCAGAACCCTCAATTCCTATAGTGAATGTATCAATAACTTTCTCTCATGTATAGTGGTTAATAAGATATTTCGTTCCAAACACAGGTATAAGAGTTGACTCAAGTAAAGAGTCTCTGCGAGCTGTGCCCTGTACAGCCGGTTGCCTGTACTTGGCGCGAGACTCGACCGAGTCTCTTGATTATAATAAAAATGGAAAGCGATAGAATATGCTAAATCGAGCAATAATCACATTTAAATGCAGCATATTTTTCATTAAGAATACTTTTGCAGCTACCGTTCATAAAGATTCATCTTTAACTAAACCCAAACCTGTTTCATTTTTCCTATGAAAACAAAATTGTATTCCATCGTCATTCAATACAGTTGGTATTCAATGAACTACAGACTCGTTTCACGATGATAAAAAAGAACATTAAAAAAGCATTCAAAGATATTAATCTCTTGAATTTTCCATTAAAGAGATAAACTCAAATTACACAGTGGAATTCAAATTACACAGTCGGAGTAACAAAAGGATCCAAATCAACCTGACAGGTAGTTACACGACCATTAACTAATTTTTCCATTAGCAACTCAGTTGACCAGCTATAGATGGACAATCACATTAGATTATATTATTTCTTTGTAACAAACTTCCGCAACACCATCTACAGTCATATATGCACAACAATGTCCAACCAAGAAGTATAGTCCAAGGCGTAGTGGGAAAGTCGACATTGACAACGTAAACGTGCAGAAGAAGTATAGAGGCTCTTTATACCTACAGATATCATAGCTTACGATGCAGTATACCTATATTGTAAGACCACCCGTTATTTTCGTCTGCCGACTATGACAACAGCAAAATTAGCCACAACAGGACGTAACGGATGCAAGAGTAACAACAATTCTAACCAAAAATCCACCTCCATTTCAATTTCATTTGAATCCATTTTCCTGAATTCCTCTGTGTTACGACAAGCCACTCTACACCGTGCTATTTCGCCTCACTTTCCTCTCTATTGTTACAGATAACTCCAGTCGTCGCCCTGCCGAGTTCCACTCATTCTCGTGAAAGGTCTAGTGGTTGTTTTCTCTTTAGGAGGCATGACGCTGTGCGATAGTTATCTCGTAGTCGGAGAATTCGCCTAGCGTGTCGAAGCCAACCTTTTCCCATTTGCCTATTTCTACATTGAACTTCATCGGACGACCTCTTCATTTTCTGTTTCTTGAATTGTCTCTGATTCTCTTATGATTTATTGGAGAAGTTTCGACGATTGAATTTCGCATGGAAACGATGGTATCGGACTATGGTGCGACGAGTCGAACAAAGCCAATGATTCACGGTAAGATAGGGTAACGACGAAACGGTAACGGAGCCACCTGTACCTGCTTAGTCTATACTTTTTCTTGGAATATTCTATTTTTATTCTTGATCGATTTTATGACGTTTGATAAATTCCCATAGATAATTACTTATTGTTTACAGTTGCCGATTGCTCCACAAGCCGAGCGGTGCTCTGACAGTTTTTCTATGTAAAAGTAAACTATTTAACTGCAATCATCTCCGCATTCCTTTTTTTATTGTTATGCTTCCTGGAAATTTGCGGAATTTATTAGTCGTTTTTCGTCGACTAATATCGCTTGGTTTTTCAATAGAAACCTGTTTTTTTGAATTCTAATATACTAACATAATATATTATTCGTAACTCATGATTTGAAACTAATTCCAATTTGAGATTTTTGTTAAGGGGTCTACCCTATTTAGAACTTTCAAAAAATCATTTTTTTTTGCATTTTTCGAAAGTATACATATTTAAAAGTATCCTACTAAAATTTTCTAAATATCCGAGCAGTCTAAGTGTATTTTTGAGAGACGTTTACTTAACTACCTGAGCGCGCTAATATACGCACCGCTCGGAGCGGTACTACCTACCTGCCTTTGTATACATGAGGAGCTGCTACCTTTTGTAAATATACTATCCGTACTACATTTTGGATGAAAATGAGCGCTATGAAGAAACTGAAGGCATAATGTATGGTACAGGCATCGCTGATTAGACGTAAGTAAGATTTTTTAACGATTTTTCGTTAAAGAAAACTTTAAACGCGTTTTTCTCAAAATGACGTTTTTGGGCGGCTTGTTGATAAAATCTCCGAAACTATTCAACCGACCCTTACCAAAATTGTACCATATGTTCTTTATGACTATAGCTATAGCGCATATCATACGAATTTTGAAATTTTTAGTGTAACTATTTTTTTTTGCAAAAAACGATGAAAAAAAACGTGCTTTTTCGTAGTTTTTGGAAAAATGGCCGCCATTTTGTCATTTTAAAAAAATCAAAAATCGTATGATGTGCGCTATAGCCATGTACCTACTGAATCTAAAACTATTTTTTTTTTTCGGATCATCCATTCCAGAGATTTTATCAACAGCGCACACCCATCTTTTTTTTTTGGACCTGTCTTCTCCCCCATTTTTCTGTACGAAAACTGAGTAAGATGAATATAACAAATTCTTGTTTGTGTATTTTAAGAGTGTATTTTTTAGGCCTAACACTTTTTATATCCATATTTATAATTTATACCGGTAAAAAAAAAATTGGGAAAATAGTCTTTTTTTTGCCCTTCTAATTAGAGTAGACCCCTTAAACTGGACATTATGAGAAAATGAATTTTGAAAATTAAACTGGTGTTGAGTAACGGGTGGAACAATATCACAATTTATAATTCTAGGAATACGATTGAATGATTTTATCCCGCGGGGCATGTTTTATAAACACTCTTAATTACAAGTTAATGTATTTACTGGAAGGGTAGTAGAAGGTAAAGCGTATTTTGTAACTCTTAATTTCGAAGACAATGTGGACACCACTTCTATGAAATAATTTGAATGTTGCTTATAAAGATAGCGTTATAAGTAGGATTAGGCGAAGCCCGAAAACATTAAAAAAAGACACAAAAATGTATTCTTGAAATGATTTTAATAATGAAAGGTTTTCCAAATTTCCTCGAAAGAGGCTCGTATTGAATTTATCGAAAAAGAAATTCTTGTATTTAAAGTTATTTTTTAGCGAATCAATCATAAGGAGCTCATTTCGAGGCGATCCTCTGATATGCCTTTCAAATTGTTGTTTGAATTAGGTTCGGAGGTTTAAAATCATATTAGCCATTAATAGAATTACCATCACAAAGACTTTTCATTAGAACGCAATTATGTGACAGATTGCAAATTCTTCTCATTGGTCTATAACAAGGGATCGCTGTAAAAATATAAATTGAAACAATATATATAGCCTATGTCCATATCCAGCATGCTATTTCAATGTAAATTCAAAGAAAATCCTATGATATTTTTCGCGGAACGTATATCTGTCTCAACTAAGCACGCATTCCGTGGACTGTTTCTCATTAGCAAAAATAGCCAGGTCTGTAATTCAAGAATATGACATGGGAGCCGAAGCTTATAATTGAACAATACCTTTCGGATCGTCTTCGAGTCTAAGTATGGAACTGTATATATTTGTAAAATAAAATTTCTTATAATTTTTTTCTCACGATCTCAGAATTCCACCGTTCGTGAATACCACTACTATACGTAACGTTAGCCGTAATATTCATAACAGGACAGAATGCCCCCATCTATAAAGAATAACACCGAGAATCTTTTGGTCGAGTAATTTGGCGTTGGTTCTCGAAGAGAAAATAAAAGTGGACGAAGGTGCTGATGAGAAGCGGAGGAAGAAATGTGCTTGAGCCTCATTGTTAAAGACGAATACATATCTAGGCACACGGTGGACGCGATCTTTGAGAGTGAGATACACTGGGAAGGGATGATATGATGAAGTGGGTAAGTGGGGGAAGAAATGTTGGTGCAGTGGACCGGGTCAGAGGTATCATTAGAGTAATGACGGAGCGCTGCTGGAGCGATGAAAGATTCTCGAGTTTTTGTTTGGCTGTCGAAGGTTCGATTCTCTGGCTGGACTGTGACTTTGTCTTGCCATTATTACGTGTGTAATACTCTAGAACTCGGCGCAAAAAGACTAATTGCAAGAGGGGCGCGCGGTATTGGTGATGATGGTGGTGGTAATGCCGATTGGCAGTCTTGCCAATACTGGAACAGTTCGTGGAATACGACCTGATCTAGGCGATGGCTTTGAGCTGGAGCGTGCAGAGACTCGATTCAAACTTCCAACGAGTAATTTTGTATCGTTTTGCTGAAGATATCAGTCGATCGCTGCTGAAGCTTCGTTGAATAATTCCGCATTCTTTCAGACTGAACGAATTCCATTTTGAAGCTATCGAAGAATTTCTCTTGACTCGTGTAGAACATTCTATTAGTGTACAGTATGTGAATAATTCAGCTGAGACTTAAGTATTTTAAACAATGATATAGGTTGCCAGACCGTAGCGTCTGCTGTAAATTTAGAGGACCCTTTTGGAATCGGATTAAAACGGTTCAATGTTTTTTTGTTTTTTTTTTCTTAATATTTAAAAATTCTATATATGTCCCTAAAGTCGATGTATGCATTTTTAAAAGCTAATTCAGAGAAAAGAATGCACTTGACGTAAAAGAAAAATGTTGTAATCACAATTAACAAATAACTTAGTATGAAATTTGATTGTTGTTCCAACAAAAAGTAGTTCATGATTGCCATGATTTTACAGATACTGCATGTTACTGATCGTAGATTAATCTTTAGAAATTATTTAATACGAAACCCACTCTTTTCCATATATATGGTTATAAAGTGATCTCGATTCAAATGAGTTATTTATAGAGATGTTTATGTTTAATATAAAAATGATGTTGAGACGATGCAGCATAATTTGCATGAAGTACTTTTTTTTAGCAAATAAACAAGATAAACGATAACGAAACAAAGGAAAAAAAAGTCTTACCGCGATACTCTGTGCTGAGAAATTCTACCGTGGTTAGGAAGAGTGAGATTGCTATCGACCTTGGACCACGTGACTGAATTTCTTGCATCCGGAAGATCCACCCTTCCTAGGTAAGCCTCGCAGAAAAGTCTTGCAACACCACCAAGGGGTACCAATTGCGATACCGGTTTGTAAGTTGGCAAAGGCTTTCCCGTATATCCTGTGTCTTCACCTGAATCAAAATAAATGAATGCCTATGAGTGAGTGACACAAGTATATATAATATATATATACATACAAATATTTGTTGCAAGGCGATACTTTGGGGACGATTTTATTTACGAAGTCGCTATTTAGAGAACAAGTGGCTGTTTTGGAGGACCGTCCTCAAAGATTTTCCAGCGTAATGACTGTATTGAGGACCATAAAGCGGACTGTCGTCAATTTTGTTTATATTTTTTCAATGTTAGGCATCCAGTATTTGTGCTGGGCTTACAAATGTTTCGTTAGGTTAGATTAGTTCAGAACTCTATTGCTGTGATGTCCGAAGGTAGTAGTTTAAAAAAAACATTAGCTTGCTATTCTGAACGCCCCTTAAGTTTTCGTGTCCCCAAAGTTTCTCTTTCGCAAACGTATATACAATAACGTCCAATTGAAGTGCAACACTTGAATTTTTTTACATGTCTGTAAAAGTATGACAGATTTCGAAAAACCAAAGACATATTTTTTAGGAAATTTCCTCCTCGTTCGAATGGTAAAGGTTTTATCCCGATCTGATACAAAATGGCCGAATGGCAGGGGTTGGAGTGAAAAAGTGCATTTTGGAACTTTTTGAAAAATTCGAGATCTAGTAGTTCCAGAAGGCAATTTATATTTCTAATTAGGGCACGAGAGAGAGCATCCTTCGGCATTAAAAAAACACCCCCATTGAACCCCTGTAGGATCACTCTAGGGGTCTACTACCCTACCACGCGCGCCAAGCAATTGTCCCTCGAGCGCCTCGAGCGAAACTCGCAAAATTTAGGCGTTTTTTCAAACGGATAATTTAACCCCTTAGCGTACTCGTATTTAGATGTTTAAAAGCGCGTTTTAATCGTTGAAATCTCAGCTACAACATGGATAAAAATGAAACTTCTATTTCATTGCTTTCCTAATGAAGAATGGCGGGTTCGCTTCGGGTGCGCTTGCGAAATTTCTAGATCTCCGTCACGGGATTATCTCCGAGAACATTAATTTTGTGAGTATTTGCAATATCATTAAAGATGATATCTTGCAGAAACTGGACTAGATTGGCCAGCGCGTTCGGAAGTTATGGCCAATTAAGTGTTTACCATTCGAACGAGGAGGAAATTTCCTAAAAAATATGTCTTTGGTTTTTCGAAATCTGTCATACTTTTACAGACATGTAAAAAAATTCAAGTGTTGCACTTCAATTGGACGTTACTGTATGTATACAGGGTGTTCCGAAACTACCTAACCCGGTGGGTATGGCGGTGTTCGGGAGGCTTCACTGATCACGAAAATGACCTTCTTTTTGTCCGGAAGGTCATAGTTTTTAAAGGGGAGCAAGTCATAGTTGACCAATTAGAGGAAGGCGTCAAGAGAAACGTAGGCACCTGCGAACTCTGAGTTTTCTTCCCTCGCTTTTATTTCTCGGTGGCTTCGGGCAGGATGACGTCAGCCGAAGACATGCCTATTGGAAACAAGAAACAAGCTACCGAGAAACAATAGCGAGGGAAGAATACTCCGAGTTCGTAGGTGACTACTTTTCTCTTGACGCTTCGTTCTGATTGGTCAACATTGACCTGCTCCCATTTAAAAGCTGAGAGTTTCCGGAAAAAAGAAAGGTCATTTCCGTGATCAGTGAAGCCTCCCGAACACCACCATACCCACCGGGTCAGGTAGTTTCGGAACACCCTGTATATAAATATGTCCACGGGATACTTTGGGGACCCGAAACATTAAGGGGTCAAACTTGCAAGCTAATGTTTAAAAAAAAAAACTAGAACCTTGGTGTGTGACAGCATTGGAATTCTCAGCTAAACTAACCTAACCTAACCTAACAATATAAACAATTTTATTAACAATAAAAAAAATATAAATAAATTCGGTGTGAGAGTCACCTTTATGGGCCTCAAAACAGTCATTACGCTGGAAAAATTTTGAGGTCGGACCCCAAAACAGCCATAAGACCTCGAATAAGCGTGTTCAAAAAAGAAATCGACTCCAAAGTATGCGATAGCCAAATTTATACATTTTTATCTACATATAATGACAAGAAATGTTATTTGTAACCTTCAGTTGTTTTTGTGAACTTCATGGTTACTTGGCGGCACTGTAAGAAGTATCGATATCATGAAATATGTTTATTATGCTTCTTAGTAAAGAGAGATGAATGTGCTGTATTTATCTTGGAACTCAATTTTCTGGGCAAAACATTTTCTTGCTCGATTACTGTTTAATAAAAGAATTCGATAGACTATGGTTTCTCAGTAATATGAATGAAAAGTGATATTAACAAAATTACGTGATGCATACTTGAAAACTAATACATGATTACCTAAGATAGTACGTTGTGTTAAGTCTATTGAGTACGTTATAGAAGTAGTAGGTGTATAGGACTCTTATTGGAAGCAATTGGAACCCTTGCATAAGTCCATTAAAAACATTTAAGGGGCTCGACTTCCTCCGACGACTTGTTAGAAAATAGCACGATTTAAGGTTCGAGCATAATTCACCTTTGTAGGGGATTAAAGCCAATATATTGTCTCTTTCTCTAATCGGATTACTAGATTTCAAGCCATCTTTCGACATTCTAAATCCCGGCCCTCTAAAGTTCAAAGGAATAGAGAATAAAATATACGATGTAAGGTATGGTCTATTTGAACGGTAGCGTGTGAAATTTTGGATCATACCTTTTTTTTCAAATCGATATTACCTTTAAATTTCAAATGACATGAATACTTCAAATTTATTCTATCTTTAGAAAATACATCTCTCAATCCATTTTTGATATTATATTTTTTTTACTACAAACAACTACAAACGAAATAGATGTTACTACAAACAACTAGAAATGATCTTAGAGACAGAATTCGCAGTATACTAACTCCCCATTAGTTTTCGAAAAGCTAATAACAAAATAAATGCTGCTAGAAACAATTGTAAACGATGTCAGAGCAAATGCTGGTAGTATATCTATTACACGTGAATTTCTGAAAAACTACAGTGGAAATGAATGTAAATAATGAAATGAATGGAATGTATGTTTCAATATAAAATGAATGTGGAATATACGACTACAAATAACTTTAAAAAAAAAATTCTAACTTTTTTTCTATGCTACTACAAACGGAAATTCTTTCACTACAACCAACTATAAACGATTCTCTGTAGGAATCAGTGATTAGATTTTAGTTTTTTCAAAGTCGGTGGATGGGCTTATTTTATGGTATTATAACTTTTTTGAGGGGCTACTATAAACGAAAAAATTGGTACTACAAACAACTACATACCATACTCTGTAAGTCTATGAAAAAAAAATTTGATTTTCCAAAGTCGGGTGCTAAGTTCACCTAGCTCAATTTTGTTGGAGGGCGTTTTCTGCTAGACTCTTTGTTTGAATGTAGATATTATATTTACACTGTAGGAACAAATGCTTATACGCAAGATCTATGTGCATATGCCCGTAGCGAATGGCCAGGGTTGACTGTAATTCGCTGAATATTTCCAAAAAATGTTGCCACCATGTGAATCTACTTGAGTGTATTAATATCTTAGTTATAATTTACAATGTGAAATTTTGTAACGATAAGTAAGATACACAACGCTACAAATTTTATTTAAAAGTTTATTTCGAAATGCCACAGTATTTCATCCGCAACAATGTGACATAAAATTTTATACATATATTGTGCATCTTAGTCACTCTAACTATTTGCACACACTAAAATATAGAGAAAATGTCAGCACGTACAGACAGAGTTTGGCGCATCAAAACACACGATCTTCCCACACAGCACACTATATTTCGAAAACATTACAACAATATTCCAATATTTCAATGCGACAGCAATGTTGTTGATGTCTTTATGTCAAATATTGCACAATATTTCAGGGCAATATAATAAATAAAACTTTCTGATATATTGCTGAAATCTGTGACAAGAGTCCCTAACCAGACTTGGAGTATCCGAGCGAACACTAGTTCGCTGCCGCGCCGCTAGGTGGCCAAGGCAACTCGCATGAAAAAACGTAGGACCGGGTAAATAATTAATCCGTCGATTATTCGGTTTTCGTCTACGCCGTCGATATATTCTTTTGTATTCTGCATGTAAAAATTACATGTGAAATTATTGTATTTGTATAGAGTATTTAAAAATACAACCGAGGTAATATTTAAGGAGGTATAGGCAACCTGCCCAAAGAAACTCACGATACATTGCTGGCATTGGAATTTATTCTCAGTTATATTATTTCTCAGTTATCTATCTGAGTTATATTTTATTAATATTATGCATTAATATTTCCAAAATATTGACCGGCAATATTATAGCAATATTATGATTGCAACGTGGCTGAGCGGACATTGCAAGGTTCCTGCAACATTCGAGAAATATTTAAACAATTTTCAATATATTTCCGGTAATATTGCATTATTTCAAGGGAAACTTTTGGCAATGTTGACAAAATATTTCTGTGCTGTGTGGGTTAATGCAAAGATCAGTATACAGGGTTAGTCAGTAGAAACGCACCAGCAGAAGTTGGCCGCAAGTGGCCGACATGGCACTGTGGCCTCTTCAAAAAATGACATGTGACTGTGACCGATTCCCATAAGCGCAAACTGACAGTTCGCATAGCAATATGGTTTTTGAAATATTTCAATCAAGAGACTCGGTCGAGTCTCGCGCCAAGTACAGGCAACCAGCCGTACGGGGCATGGCCCGCCGAGACTCTTTACTCGAAGCATCTCTTATACCTGTGTTTCAACTCAAATATCTCATAAACGGCTGTATGTGAGCAAAATTTATTGATACATTCATTCTAGGAATCAAGGGGTTTTAATTGATTGCCACCAAATTCAATAAGATTAGTGTACAGGATCAGGACGTATTCACATGGCAAGCGAGATGATTTTATTTCAGGTCTGTCGTCGTCGTCGTCGTCGTCGTCGTCATCGCACGTCCATCGCATTTTTTACACGACAGATGGCGCTGACTGCTGTGCCTTCTTTACCTATTTGTACTCTGTATGG